ACTTACTGTCATATGTTCATGGTCCTGGCTTCGCGTTTACTTGTTTTTTACCATTACAAACTTTGTTTCGATCAATAGTTAGATATATATATATATATATATATATATATCTCTTTATAATTATGTTTGTGAATTTAAACCTGTTATTAACAAAAATAGAAGGTGTAAGATTGAATCGTTTAAATCAACTACCATGTTTATGTGCACCACTGCATGGTAAACATATTCGTCTTCTCCTGAATGTTAGTTCATTAGGGATGCGAAATTTTCTACGCAAGTGAATCGTCCTCTTTTCTCGTGGGTACCAACTTTGTTGCAACCAAAAAGTGTCGGTGACATTCGTCTGAAAACCATCGACCCGCTGGATTATCCACTTATAGATCCACGTTACTACGAGAACGAAGAAGACGTTAAAACTATGGTGGAAGGTAACCAACAGATGTGATTATTATTAGCTAGCTCTCATTGAAATCATAGCTTCGTGTGGTTCCCGGATACGCAGTTTTTTTTTTACGCGGACATAGACCTGAACGCGCGCCGCAGAAATACAACTAACTCAGACACATGTGTAATTTAATAGGAATCAAGATTGCAATGAGACTTTCAGAGGCGGCGGCATTCAAGGTTATCGGGGCAAAAGTGAATCCACATGCCTGGACCATTCCAGGATGCACTCAGCACGGAAAAGGTGACGCATTTATATTTATATTATTGTCACATGCCTGTCTAGAAGGGGAGCACTGCACTGGGTAGATACTTTGCTTCCTTTCCCAAAATACGACGCGTTATTACCGCCAATAGTAAACGAAAGATAGTATGAATAATTGAAACGTCTTAGAATCCGCCGGGTCTCTATAATGCTTCATCTGCCATGATGATCATACACAGGTGACAAATACCTAGAGTGTGTTGCACGCAACATGGCTGCTACACTTTACCATCCGACGGGAACCTGTAAGATGGGCGCCAGCAACGATCCGTCTGCCGTCGTTGATCCGCAGCTGAGGTTAGTAAGGAAACATTTACGGACAGTCCGAGCAGTTGGGGTCACTTCTTTAAGAAGCACGCTCAATTTTAGCAGGCACAATTAGTATTAGAAGCACGGGAATAGAAGGTAAAGCCTATGCTTTCTATAATAAGGTTCGCGTAAGCTTTAAATCTAGGTTTATTCATAACTGGCCCCCATTAAGCGATATAGAGTAAGTTTGTTTTAACGTTGGTAACCTGTTTAATATTTATAGTTAAAATAATATGTGCGATGTAGTAATCATGCGACTCGTGCCAGTGTATGATCTACCCGCTCGTGTGTTTTAGGGTACGTGGAGTAGAAGGACTGAGGGTCGTGGATGCCTCCATCATGCCGGATATCGTGGCGGGAAACACGCATGCGCCCGTCATCATGATCGCTGAGAAGGCTGCCGACATGATACGCGCTGTAAAGAAGTGATGATGCAAAACTACTTCATTTCATTTATATTTTGAGAAAGCGTAGTATCTGAATGCAGTATAGGCGCAGCCCTAGTTGATATGTGCAGGTAGATATATAGTGACGAGAGATGCTATAGCTCATCAGCGACTTACAAAACGCTGGTGCATTGTGAAATCACCCTTTTTGCCAACCTATTGGATCCTATAATTTCCACAATCTGCTATTCCTATGCTCTTCAAAACAATGTATTTGAATAGGAACGTATTTATGTTTAAAAATAAAAATTTGAATTATGACCTTATTTGTAGAATATGGCTCTGTTGTTCTTAAATATCTAGTCCTCTAGCTCAAGTCATCTCAGTCTTATTACATGAAGCTTATTTGAAATAAGGAGAGTAGTAATGTAATATACTACATTAATATTATCTCATAAGTACGTTGTTTATAATGTTTTGAGAGTAAAAAAATCTCGTAGAAAATACCCTAAATTGAACTTTAACTATTGTAAAGTGTTTGGAGCATAAGATTTACAGGATGTATCTGCACACACCCGATGTCAGATATTGCGACAAACTTTATTCGTTCAGTTATATTAATACGAATATTTCCACTAGTTAGATTTCTATAGGGTCTTGGACGTAAACACGACCTATATTTATATATAAACCTGAATAAGGATATAGTAGTGATATAGCGATAACATGTCAGATCTAATATTTGTAGATCAAAGGAGGTGACACTGGCGAGTAAAGGTTTCTAGTAGAATAAATAAAGCCAAAAACAGTGTGCCGACTGGACGCAAAACAGTGCATTCTGCCCGCTTAGCTAGCTGTAGCTAGCTAAGCAAATGTCAAATAATAAATCCAGCTGCATATATAGTCTGGAGGAATGATATACCCATTCGAATATATAGGCCTTGCATATTAAATCAACATTTTACGATAAGACGGTTTCATCACACATGTGGACTTCAGACCTCACCTTTGGTCCAATATGAACAATTTGGTCAAATATTCTGGGTGTGTATATGTAGGCACACTTTAAACCGTGAAGCGTTTCGCTGTTGCTGGTGCTCAGTAAGGGTGAGCTGGACCAGGGCTCTGGTTCTGCTGGGTATTACCATGATGAAGAAGGCACTGCTTCCCCTCGCTGTGCTGGTTGCAGCAGTGCTGTACATGAGAAGCGGTCAGAACCTCACATACAGCGTAGAGGATCCCGACGATGTCTACGATTATATTATAGGTGAGTCCAACCCCACATCTGTGTCGAGTCTAGAGTGTCCCGCGTGTCTATCTTAAGTTATAGCATCGGAATAGATGTCCGTTGTCCACAATTCTTCAACGCACTTTTAGAATATATCTGCGTGGATAATCAATGTGAGCAGAAAATAAACGGATAATTACGAATAAAAAAACAACGTAACAATATAAACTCCTGAATCCCACACCGAAAGATGCAATCTCTTGAGAAAGGCAACGAGCTAGTAATCAGTGGGATGGATCTCGAAGATTATGAGCAAATTATTCCGAAATCGAATATGTAGGCCTACTGGAAATATATTGATAATATAAGGAGTGAATGAAAACATTTTTTTGTTTTAACGTTTTCGTTTATTTTGTGTTACTGTTATGCTACTTTGCTTATGTTGTTGAACATGTTTTTATTGTTTGGTTTTCTTGTTGTTATAAGCACACTGATTGTCACTATTCTGTCCTGATAATAGGAAAGCTGATGGTCGTTCAGGTATTGAAAGTATAACTATAACTATAATCGATAGATATATATAGAACATTTAATAATAAACGTTACTGTGGCAGGTAATAGTACGGACCGGGCAGTAGGGATCAACACGCGTGCTGATAATAATTATGATCACAGTTATGGGAAATGTTTCACGTGCTGCATCTCTATAGGAGGTGGAGGGACGGCAGGATGTGTGCTCGCTAACCGCTTGTCTGAGGATCCTGATGTGAAGGTACTGTTGGTTGAGGCAGGAGGAGAACAAGCGGGTAACAAGAACATAGCTAAACCAGCTTTCCACGCGTTTCTGAAAAACACGAACGTAGATTGGAACTACAGAACAGTGCCACAGAAATTCTCCTGCCTTGCCTGCGAGAATAAGGTAAATCTCTACTTGTCCCATGTTGTCATTTCTACAGCTTGATAACGGTTGCCACGTAGTATGTAGGTTGCCATTACCTACAACTCATGATAAGATAAATGCGAAACTAAATGTCACAAAAAACGAAGCCGCGAAAAAAAAACTCGCACATATTTTCATTGCAACCGGTGTGCCACCATCTAATGCGACGTTATCGCTAGTGACATTATCTTCTGTGTCATAACGCCTGTCATCATTATCAACACGATGTTCCCCTGTTATATTCCATTCTTATAAGCAATACCATCCTGATTAATACCCGCTGTGCTCTTCGGTGATATGCCATCTTGTATCAGAACTGATCTTCTACCGAGATATTTTTATTTTGCCATCTGAATTGCTGATGTTCTATCGCATTAACAACGTTTAGCGAAGCAAATGGCCGAGAGGAAAGGTACTCGGGGGTAGCAGTTCTATAAACGGCATGGTATACATCCGTGGTTCTCCCGAAAATTACAACACATGGGAAAGGATGGGAGCAACGGGATGGAGTTACAAGGACGTACTTCCGTATTTCATGAAGTCCGAAGATATGCAGATACCTAAACTGAAGAACTCCGGTGAGTACTGTACGTGGTAGCACCTTTTTTAAATAGGAATTGACATACGCTAACATAGAAATTTCCCGTTTTAATAAGTGGAAAGAAGGAATCCATTGTATGACTAATTCTACGCAATATATTTACAGCAAAGTGCTACAATACTTATAGCAACTTGGGAAAGTATGCAGTCACACAATGTGATTTGATGTGGTATCAAATTTGCAGCCTGTACGGGGTATTGACGTTATATTAGCTACAAAACTGTTTGACGTAGGCTACAATAAATATGTGTCTACCCTAGAGATTTTCTTACAGAGTACCATGGTGTGGGAGGTCCTCTTACTATCACGCAGTCAGCCATTACAGAACTTGTAGACGTGTTCTTGGATGCAGGGCGGGAGTTAGGTTATAGAGTTGGCGATGTAAATGGAGAAACCCCTTATGGTACGTGTTCGAGATTTCATCCTATTTCTTTTAAATTCAGAAATAAAAAATTTGTTTTAATAATATCTTAAATATATTATGATAAGTTATAACAATATTTTTATTATTACAGTATGCATTCATATTCATTGAGCTAATATGCCTACTATTTTAAAGGAGTTATGAAGACACAATCAAACATCAGAGACGGGACGCGCGCAGACACTGCCAAAGTTTTCCTTCAACCTGCCATACGCAGATCAAATCTACACGTCATCACGCATGCCCATGTCGCAAAGGTAATAGCATTTCGATATTACGTGAGAAACATATTTGATGTCAGATTTATAATAACTTTAAAAGCGTTAAACGCATTTACTCATTTGATCAGATAACCTCTAATCTTAACATAATTATGAGCTACTTTAAAAAAAAAAAATATATATATATATATCATAGTCAGTAATAAAGATCTGGATTGTATAAAAGTTCGCTTGCAGTCTCTACTGTCGGTAGAGTGGCTCGATGCATTAAGTTGCAGAGCGTAATAAATTGTAGTCTGTAGATAAATTAAAAGCAAAATCACTTTTAGCTTGTTACTGCCAGATGACCAAGGTGACACTAGACCGAGTGTTCACGTTTACGCGATCAGTCAGACAGACTTTTAAATGAGGAGAGTAAAAGCCTTATTACAGCATAATCTATAACCATAATATATAATATCATGAATGGCGACCTAATCTGTCTTAGTTTTTGCTCATTTGTTCATGTAGCTTCTATGACGTCTCTAGTAGTTAAAAACATCGATCTATTTGTTCTGCCAGGCTCTAAGTTGTCTTTATTCTGGCCTTTTGGGCTTGTTTTGCTTTGTTTCCTAAATCTTATTGTCCGCCATTATATCTGAGCCGATCTATTAAAAGACAAACATCAACAGCAGTTAAATCGTAGACTTAATATCAGAGGGCTGCACTGGATAACTATAGTTATTAGTACTGATGCGCGGGATACCGGCGTCTTGCCTCCCGGAAAATCAAGTGCGTTACTACAGTGCGGCTGGTTGGTTGAGAAGAAAATACCAAAAAATCTTAACTATTCTATACTATCCATGCATCTATACATGCATTCATCCCATCCAACCATGCCATTCCATTCCATCAGTCTCATCCATGCCGATCCATCCCATCCCATCCATATCCCATCCCAATGCCATCCATCTCGATCGCATCCCAATGCCATCCCATGCCACCCATGACATCCGATGCCATGCCATAGCGCATGCCTCCGAATCCCATGCCATGACATGCCATGCCATCCCATCCCATCCAATCGCCATCCCATCCCATCCCATCCAATCCCATCGCACCGCATGCCAATGCCATATGGCCATGCCATCATGCCATGCCGCAAATGCCATCCCATAGCCCATCACTGTCCATGCATCCCATGCCATCCACCATCAACCATCGGCCAAACAGCTAAACAAATAATAAGAAATTAAAAGATTAAATGTATGATGCGGATGTTCTAACGCGCAATTAGCCACTGCGCGCGTTCAAGCGGTATACACACGCAAATGGAATTTCATAGCGTTATCGTTGCCTTGATGTTAATTCTGAACGCAGACTGGGGCAGACGCAATCCTATTGAAATGAATAGAATTTTTATCCATTATTTTAACTATTCTAACTTTTTTTAGCCAAACCTACCCTCCCAGAACGTGACGTGCTGATTTCTGAAAAAATATCTTAGTTTTCGCTCTAGGCTGCGGAGTTCTCTAGTTATGCGAGTACAACTAATTCGGCTGAACAACTTTATATATTATAATATGTTTATACTTATTTAATAGTGTATTGATCAATATATAATATCATTGGCATATAGAGTTATCTGATACGTTATATATATATTATAGCTATACCCGAGGGCTAGTACATAGCATAAATATTATATACACACACCAGTTTTCGAATTTACAATCATACTTGCGACATATAATATATATAAATAATATGATAATATATAACTATAATTTAATATATATAATAATATATGCGATATATATATGTGGATATGCTATGTATGTGTTATATATATGTATGTCATGTGTATATATATAGATATGTGGTATACATATATATATATACTAGCGGGAATACCGCACGGCGATGCCCGGTTTGTAAAATCATGGCGTTACTGGCAGTTGGCTGACGGCGGCTTGGTTGAAAAAAAAATACCCCAAGCCAAATCTAAGCTATCTATCTATCCCATCGCATCCAGTGGCAATGCTATCACTGAATGCATGTCATCCATCCATGACCCTATTCCATTTCCGCGATCCCCATCGACCATCCCATCTCATCGCATCGAATCCAATCGCCATCCATCCCATCCCATCCTGATCGCATCCATGCCATCCACCATGCCCATCCCATGACATCACCATGCCAATGCAATGCCATGCCATATGCCATCTCATCCGGGCCCATGCTCACATCGCATCCACCAAATGCCATCCAGTGAACATCACATGCCCATGCCATGCCATGCCATGCCATCCATTCCATGCCAATGCCATCCCATCCCCTCCATGACCCATCGCATTGCCATCCATGCAATCCCATGCAGTCGATACATCCTCATCTCATCCCAACCAGTAAAAAATAATATAAAGCAAATCAAAAGATAAAAAGACATTAAAAACTAAAATAATTATATTAAAAAAATAACAAATCCAAATACAATAAATAAATTAATAAATGAATTAAAAATTAAACGATAACTACATACTAAAGAGTAAGGTAAAAGGAAAAAAGGACAAAAGTGGGGAACATAAGTTTCGCACCAGCTGGGACTCGAACCCCATGAATACTGGTGTAGTACGGTAATCGTTCATATTGACGATTTTATGGTACACATGCGACCGTTAAAGGTATACATCATTGGATTCACACGTATACGTGATGTTATCTGTACGCTACAGCCATCTATTGATGAGATACGAATTTTTTAGATTTTTAAAATTTTTGTTTCAGCAGAGTGACCGAACACCTCCAGACGTGCTGATTCTTGAAAATATCTTTATGTTATTCCTCTAGGCTCGCGGGGTTCTACTTTAGTTTATTGCGAGTACGGATAATTCGGCATGAAACAACATTTATGTATATAGTAGTAGTATTATATATATATATATATATAATTACATATAAACTATATAACATATTATATATATCTAAGTTATCCTAAACCGGCCCTTATAGAGCTCTAGAAACTGCTGTTGAATGTTTGTTGTTATAGATCGGATCAGATATAAATGGCGGCAATAAGATTAGAAACAAACAAAAAAAGTCAAAAGCCGAACGCAATAGACCAGCAGAACAATAGATCAATTTAACTATAGAACTATAGAACTACATAACAATAGATAACTAAAATAATAGCGCAATTCATGTATATATAGGTTGTAGTATGTATATAAGTTTTATTCTTCATCAAAGTCTGTCTGATGATCGCGTAAGCGTGAAACTCGGAGTAACAGCTAAAAGTGATGTCTTGTCTTTAATTTATCTACAGTCTAAGATTTATATATATATATATATATATATATATATATATATATATATATTATTGATAATTTTAAAGCTTTCTTGATTGATAATTCAATAATCACTAGGTGTTGTTGGAGGGCGAATGTTCGTGGATTTCTAAGCGCAGTCACGCCTGTATAAATAATCATTTACACTCAAGGGTTTAGGAATTTTCCAGGTGATGTTCGATGGCAAGAGGGCGGTAGGCTTGCAGTTTATTCATGGTGCCGAGAAGAAACAAGCGAGAGCGTCTCGGGAAGTGATCCTCTCTGCTGGAGCTATCGGCTCTCCTCACATCCTCCTCTTGTCTGGCGTTGGACCCAAAGAGCAACTTGACCAGTTCAATGCAAGTTAAAACATAATCATAATGCATTCACACAATGGCGATTCATTGTTGTGTGAATATTTATTATAATTAAACCAGTTCTATGTTGCCATATATCATGCGAAGTAAGAATTTCATGTACATCTATTGTACATGTATCTTTGTATGTTTACAGATACCGCAAGTCGCTGACCTTCCAGTTGGAAAACATCTGCAAGACCACATTGGCATATTCTACCCAGAAAATTTTATCGATAAAAATATTTCAATGATAAAATCAGACATGCTAAGCTTTACGACAAGGGTTAAATGGGATTTGCTTGGACAAGGTAAATAAGACAACAGGTTCACATTATAATACAGAAAATTAAATGGGATGTGTTAAAAGGGATACAAAAAACTAAAATTTTGCGTTCATCTAGATTCTAGACTATTATACTCGGGTTCCACTATTATAGAATACCATGGCATCAGTGTTATTGCAGGCCCTCTGTCGGCTACCGGCTTAGAAGCCGTTGGCTTCTTTCATACAACCGGCCTGGAGAAGGAAGGCGTGTCCCCTAATATGCAGCTGCATCTGGCCAGCTTCGGAATGGGATCTATAGATGAAGATTTTGCATATAACCAGCTAGGATTTGAGAAGAAGGTTCATAGCTTTACCATTCTATTGACTATTCTTTGACGATCGCGTACTAAAATCTACTCATGGGTTGCCATCTAGATGTTAAGATCGCTTAAGTCAGCGGTTTATAGTGTTGGCGGTACCACTGGCGGGACTGTGGGGTTGCTAATTGGCGCTATGCGGCAAGTGGTAGCTTTTTATGGTAGGATAGGGGGGCATTGGGGATGAGTTTAATAATCCAAAGGTGGGTTGGCCCGAAAACAATTGGAGAACCGCTCTATGGTCTAGCATCTGGGATTTTTCATTCTTGATTCTAGTTCATAAAAGACGCTAACTATGCGGCCCAAGAGGATCGCTATCTTTTCTCGTTGGTACCAACTTTGTTGAAACCTAAAAGTGTCGGTGATATTCGCTTGAGAACCAGCGACCCGCTGGATTATCCGCTCATAGATCCACGTTATTACGAGAACGAACAAGACGTTAAAACTATGGTAGAAGGTATTGTGGAAATCGATTGATAATTTGTTTTGAGAATATTGCATTAAAACAGACATACAAACACCGGCGCCACACATAGACTCGCACACACGTGCAAGCACACGCATACGCATGCACACACCCACACAAACAAACAAACACACACACACACACACACACACACACACACACACACACACACACACACACACACACACACACACACACACATCCCCGCAATCTTCTTAATCATGTTCATAATTTAACAGGGATCAGGCTGGCTATGAAGATAACAGATACGGATGCATTCAAGGCTATCGGCGCAAAAATGAATCCCAATAATTGGAATGTACCCGGATGTACGCAGTACGGGGAAGGTAATAATACATTTCTAGTATAAAGAAATAGGTTAGCCTGTCTTAAACATTCTAAAAGTAAAAGGTCAGCATAATACTTCATCGATTGTGCTAATATTACACAGGTAACAGATATCTGGCGTGTGTTGTACGCACCATCTCCCAAACAATTTTACATCCGACGGGAACCTGTAAGATGGGTGCCAGCACCGATCCATCTGCCGTCGTTGATCCGCAGCTGAGGTTAGTGGGGAAACATTTGGTTTCATTATTTATAAAAGCTCGCTCTAACCGTGAAGTCTAAACAACATTGTCTGAGTGCAACTGGTAAAGTATGCCAAGTGGCTACTCGCAAGCACCGCCACTATTTCACTTTTAATGTGGCTACGAACACAGCTCGCTCAATCGTTTGCGTCGAGCTTCGATTAGGAGCGGGCGACTAAACCCTAGGAGGGGCGGGCTAAGCCAACACGTTTATTGTAGCGGACCGGGTCTTTTATTGTACGACGGGCTACAGCGTTAGCCAGCCATGATGCCGATATTCCTTGCCGGGTTCCCTTTTAATTTACTGTATAGCATTGCGGTAGAGCCAATTAGGGCGACATGGTCAGAGGCATACTGGTCTTTATCAGGAACAGATTCATGTGATATTAGAAGCAATATTTTGATATAAACGCTATGCTTTTGTTCAAAAGGAGCATCACGTTATACGAGCGCGTTTGCTGTATTGTTTGTAACGTGTTTATTATGTTCATAACATAACTTGTTAACTTCGCAACGCTTGCCAAATAGTTATCAGGTGACTCGTGTCAGTGCATGACGTGCCACCCGTTTGCGTGTTTCAGGGTGCGTGGAGTAGAAGGACTGAGGGTCGTGGACGCTTCCATCATGCCGGAAATCACGGCAGGAAACACGCATGCGCCCGTCATCATGATCGCTGAGAAGGCTGCCGACATGATACGTGGCACGCAGAACTGATGTGAAACTAATACGAGTGCATTTCATTTAGTTTCCAGAAAGATCGATATGCGAATAAAGTAACAGAAAGTTTATTTACAGCTATAGTCACATCGCGATACAGCCACTTAATTGACACGTGATTCAGTTAGGCTTGCCTCATGTGGATCCAAACTCCATGACAAATGGCGCTCTCGCTATGGCTCAATTCACGTATTCGGAGTTGCACGAAGAGGGCGCTGCATGCAGTTTGATGTGGATCGTGGCTGATCAGCTTTTAGATTTGCCACGGAATGTCATTTGTGTTGATGTTGGAACATATTTCTGTCACATGCTCAATGGCAATAGCTCAATAATTAGGCGAGCATTATATTATCAGGAGTAAGATAATATAGGTATTATGATATTACTCCTGATATTATAACAACCCCGGTACTTATTACCAGTAGTGCTTTGCGCCGGATTGACAAGTGCATGGAAATGTAAAATTTCTGAATAAAGTGTGCTGAGTGAATAAAAGCGTACTAGATGAATTATCATTGGAGATTCTATTAATATTCTATTTATGGGATCATGATTATGATACGTATAGTGATCTTAAGCTTGTCGTAAATAGGGGGAATAAACTGCTGGGTAAACAAAGTTTCTATCGTTGGATACTCGTGAAGTTAAGCTGATGATGCGTAACTTAAGTTGATGATGCGTAAGCAGCACTGCAAATAGATATATATTACTAGCCTTTCAACGGTCGGTACTGCATACTATGGGAGGGGATGTGTCAAAATTCAAACGTTTAATTGATCGATTGATTGTTCAATTGAACAGTTGTTTAATCATTCAAACGTTCAATTGATTGATTGATTGTTCAATTGAACAGTCGTTTAATCATTCAATACTTCAATTGATCGATTAATTGTTTAATTGAACGGCCGTTTAATCATTCAAACGTGTAATTGATCGATTAATTGTTTAATTCAACACTCGTTTAATCATTTAATACTTCAGTTGATCGATTGATCGTTCAATTGAACACTCGTTTAATCAATTGACAAATCAAAGGCACAAATACTGAATAGGCGTCTTGAATCATAGAATGGACAATTGAGCAATTGCGAGCGAACGACGTCATGGCATAATGAGATGCCTATATATAGATTTTAAGCGCGATTAAAAACCACTGTTCTGATTGGCTGGAATTCAATCCCGCTTAAAATACATTTTAAGCGCGATTAAAATAGGTAGGTTTGTGTGTGTGTGTGTGTGTGTGTGTGTGTGTGTGTGTGTGTGTGTGTGTGTGTGTGTGTGTGTGTGTGTGTGTGTGTGTGGTGGGGGTGTGTGTGTGTGTGTGTGTGTGTGTGTGTGTGTGTGT